ACCATCTTATTTGATGGGACGAGTTAATGCTTTAAACCTGCCCGATTTCCCCGAAGTACCTGATTCGGTGCAATACCAATTTAAAAAAAAACGAACTCTTCACGAATGTTGACAGTCTTATCCTAAATGTACATACATCTCTGTCCTTGTATTAGTTATCTGTTGCGCCTAACAAATGTGCCTGAGACTTAGCAGCTTAAAACCATAATAAATACGTTTGTCCCAGTTTCTGTGGGTCAGAAACTCGTCTGTCAGGTTACAGTCAGGATGTTAGAGCTGCTGTTGTCGGACAGGTGGGTTAGGCTGGCTTACGTGGCTGGCAAGTCGGTGCCGGCCTCGGGCGGGAGGCCGTGCTCCTCACCGGGTGCCACTCGGAGGCTGGCTGATGTGCGTGGTCCAACCACAGCCACAGGCCCAGCAAGCCCCGAGCAGGAGCAGTGAGAGGAATCTGTCCCCAGAACCATCACAGTCCAGATAAGCTCTCGAAAGCCGTCTGAGAGGAAGGACAGAGTCTTGAAAGGAGCAGCAGAGAGATCTCGGTATGGTGGAGGACGTAACTGTCAACCTGGAACTTCATGCCCAGCAAAAAATAATCTTTTAAGAAGAGGGAAATATAGGGCGCCTGGGTGGCTCAGTCGGTTAAGCGGCTGCCTTCGGCTCAGGTCATGATCCCAGGGTCCTGGGATCGAGTCCCGCATCGGGCTCCCTGCTCTGCGGGGAGCCTGCTTCTCCCTCTCCCTCTGCCTACTTGTGTTCTCTCTCTATCTGTCTGTCAAATAAATAAATAAAATCTTTAAAAAAAAAAGAAGAGGGAAAAATAAATGAATAAAATCATGCACAAAAATTTGCCCCAATAGGACCTCGCCCTCGATGTGAAGAAGAGAGCTCACGTAGCCCAAAGGTGAGCTCAGACTGAAGGGGGCAGGTTCTGCGTGGGGGCAAATGGAAACTAACGTGGACAGGCACCACAACACCCCACGGGGGCCACACACCGAAGACTCAGGGTAGACGAGCACGCGCACCCACCATGGCGCGAGCGTCAGGACGGGGTCTGTCAGTGGAGCTAAGTTTTCCAGGTTCCGTCTGGTCCCAAGAAGGCGAGGGGCCCGTTTGTTAACTTAGACTTGGTTGAGTGTGCATGCACGCGGGGCTGACACCAAGAGAGCAGAGAGAGAGTGAGTTTTGAACAAGTGGAGGGGAAGTGGCGGAGAGAGGAGAGGCCAAAGAAGGGTCCGTGGAACTGGAAGACAAAGCACAAGGTCCGGCAGCAGGTGCAGTGACCAATGTCGCCCCACTCACAACGCAGCCATCGCCAGAGTGGATTAAAAACAACCCAGTCGCTCGACCTGCACATGAACGTGCACGGAGCAAACATGGGAACGTTCCAGCCCCGGGGGACGGAGACCTCCCACGAACAGCCTCCCATCTGTTCCTGGCGTGCTTTGGTGCCAAGCTCTGCCTTTGGGCCTGGAGTCAGAGCGAGTGGGTGCCCCTCCGCGGGCAGCAGGGTGACCCAATAGACGTAGTTGTCAGTGAAAGAAGCAAGCAGCACAGTATGTGTGCAGCGTAGGCTTCCTTCAGTCAGAGTTCAAAAACGTGGATATATTACTGCATGGTAAAGATATTATTTGAAAGAATAAGGATTTTTTTTTGGAAGATTTACTTGGAAAAGAAACCATGCAAGGATTTTGAAAGATAAGAGCAGGTCTTGCTTGTCTGCTTGTCTGCTCTAAGCTCCAGCAATTAAAATTGTATGGCATTGGGGCGCCTGGGTGGCTCAGGTGGTTAAGCGCCGCCTTCGGCTCAGGTCACCTGGACCCTGGGATCGAGCCTCACGTCGGGCTCCCTGCTCAGCGGGGAGTCTGCTTCTCCCTCTCCCTCTGCCGCTCCCCCTGCTTGTGTGCACGCTCTCTCTGTCTGACAAATAAATAAATAAAATCTTTTAAAAAATAAAGTTGTATGGCATTGGGACAGACAGACATGGGCAAGTGATCCACAATGCAGTGCAAACAGTCCAGAAATGGATCCCCATGTAAGTCTGGGGACTTAACGTGGGCTTTGCATGGCAGTGTGCGGAGCAGCGGGGACAGACTTCTCCGTGAGTGGGGGTGGGGTGACTGGCTGCCCATTCAGAAGGCCGGACACGCACCAAACATTAAGACCAAACCATAGACACGCCAGGAGAATGCGCCAGAGCAGCATCAGAATCTCGGAAGGGAAAATTCCCACCTGGGGCCACGTGCTAAATCCACGACGGGAAATCCTGACAAGTCTGACTGCAGTTTTTAAAGGTTGGTGCAAAGACACAAAAGTCTGGAAGAAAATGCTTGTTCTATGTATAATGTTCAAACGTTTACCAACCAGAATCTACAAAGAGATGATGGCTCGGAGCAGCGAGAACGTGGTTTTCAATGTTGAGTAGGAAAGTGTGTGAGGCGTGTGGACTCAGTTCATGAAGGAAGCAGAACGGATGCTGGGCGGGAGGAGACAGGCTGCGTGACGTGATGTGCCTGGGCCCCCGAGGCCTCCAGTCCTTCTGTTGCGTTGGCGTTCAGAGAACCAACTGCTGATAATTGTCCCCTGTTGGTTTTTGTTTTTTTTTAACTTATGCATTAATCTTTCCTCCTTCTGCTTCTACCGTTTTTTTTTTTTAAAGATTTTATTTATTCATTTGACAGAGAGAGAGAGCGCTCAAGCACAAGCAGGGGGAGCGGCAGAGGCAGAGGGAGAAGCAGACTCCCCGCCGAGCAGGGACCCCGATGCGGGGCTCAATCCCAGGACCCTGGGATCATGACCTGAGCCGAAGGCAGACCCTCAACTGACTGAGCCACCCAGGCGCCCCCACCTCTAACTTTTAGTGAAGTTCTTTTGTTGTTCTTTTCCTCGCTGCTTGAATTGCTTGCTTCACCTGTTCTGGGGCTTTTTCCTGATTTTCCAGCATTTAAAGTTCTGTCTTCACAGGACAGCTGCAGCCGGTGCGCCCTGCACCCTCGCTCATTTCTAAGTGAGCCGGCTCGCAGCCTTGATTTTCCCTTTCACTCAGCGGCAGATTAGGGGTGCTTCAGAAGATGCACCCCAATGTGCTTCTGCTGTTAATTTTCACTTGCATTGCCTTGCGGTCGCCTGATGTGACCCGGACAAGTCCTGTGTTGGCACATCTGTTTGGCTGGTGGCTGATGTGTGCGCTGATCTATTTGTTTGGTGAGAGCATGACTGTGCGTCAAAGAGGTGTGTGCGTGTTCTGTGTCTATTAGATCACTCTGCTTAAGCACTTAAATCTTTATTTTTAAAAATTTGGGCCGCTTTTAACACAGGTGTGCACCTCACTGAGAACAACAGCTCTGCCCCAGCTCTTGGGGTCACAAACAGCCCGGCCCGGTGCCCACTGCTTCCAGCTCTTGCAGCTGTCCCCACCGCAAATTGTGATTCCAGATTCGGGGGCCTGTCCTCACTGTGCACACTCTCCTTGGGGACACCAGCCACGGCCAGAGCTGGTGCATCTCTGGGGATGAAGCCCCACGCCGAAAACACAGCTCTGTCCTCCTCAGAGCCCCAGGCATGCGGACGACGGCCCGTGGTTGCTCCGGGGCCCCACAGGCCACACTTGGGGGAGCCCAGAGGCCAGCTCTGTTCCCAGGGGGGCTGCCCCCCAAGGCCACTCATCCGGAGCACCCCTGCTAGCCCCCCTTTGTAGGACCCCAGTCCCTGGGCCCTTGGTCCCCCTACTTCTGGTTTACTCCCCTGTTTGGGTGGAGTGCCTCATCCAGTAGCTTCCTCGGGAGGGCCTGGGAGATGTTTGAGTTCTTGACTGTAAAGCTATTCAAATGTCTTTATTCTGCCTCCACACTTGCGTGGTGCTTTCGTGGGTGGAAATTCTCAGTGGAAAATCATGTTCTTTCAGGACTTGTAAGGTATTATTCTGTTGCCTCTAAGCCCTGCTGTTGCTGCGTGATGCCCTAGACGGCGTGCGCCTCAGGTCCTTTGCACGTGTGCTGCGTGTCAATCTCTGCAGGTTTCTGGAATTCCCACACTACTCCTGGTGCAGGGGTTTCCTTTCCTGGTCTGGAGCCGTGTCCCCTCCGTCTCTGGGAAGCATGTGTGTGAATTCATTTTCTCGGCTCTCTCTCCTTCTGGAAATTTGACTAGCTGGATGTCGGCCCACATGGTTGACTTTCCAGTTTTGTCATGAATTATAACCTGTTCACCATGTCTTCGTTTCTGGTGTTTGGCCAGTCCTTGCACTATCAGTCAGCATTTGTGTGATGACGCTCTGTGACGAATTCCTTGAGCCGCAACCTCGCGCTTTTGCTCTCGCTCTCCATCAGGGGTCTGAGGTCCGCAGGATCTGTGTGTCCTCGGCTTGCCCCCCAGTCGCAGAGGTCCTCAGGGGACGCGGCACCCATGGTGGATGGGGAGACCTGAGAGGCGGGCTTCGGGCAGGTGCTCTGCTGACCCTGCCCCGTGGGGGAGCAGGATACAGTGTAGTGGGATTAGTCTAGCGCTACCGCCGGGCAGGAGGGAGGGACCCCTCACCCCTCCACGCCTGCTAGGGAGCTTTCCGTGGGGACACCACACTTACGTGTTTAAAGAGTTCCGGCTTGCCGTCGGAGCTCTCCTCTCCCCCACCACCCCCTTTTCTGCTTCATGGACTCCCGTGTCTAGGAGAACAACAGGTACGGGGCGGGGGGCTCTTTCCTGTCCCCCGAGTCTCTCTCGTCCCTGGCAGAGGCCGCACCTTGGTCAGTGCTCGGGAGTGGAGGCCCCACGTGCGCAGGTGCAGCCTTGCTAGTGGCCAGGGACTCGGGCTGGGCTGCGGCAGGTTTCTGGGGGCTCTGTCCTGGGCGCCGCACCCTCGGGTCTGTCGGGCTGCCCATCTCCCCCAGAAAGGAACCCTCCTCTGCTGGGAGGAGAGGGAGAATAGCCAGGCCCCGCGGATCTTGGTGCAGAGTGGCAGTGTGGGAAGAGGGGCTGGGGACTTCACTTTTTTTTTTTTTTTGCAGGAGTCGGGAAGGGAGGATGCTTGAACCACAGAAACGTATTGTCTCAAAGTCTGGAGGCTGGAAGTTCAAAGCCCAGTGTCAGCCGGGCTGGTTCCTTTTCCAGGCTTCCTCCTCGGCTTGTAGCTGACCCTCTTCTCTGTGTCCTTCACATCTCCTTCCCTGTGTGTGTGTCTCTGGGTCCTGATGTGCACTTTGGGGGGTTTGGTTTTGGTTTTGCTAATTATTTCTAAGTGTATGGCTCAGCAGCATGAAGTATATTCACGTTGTTGGAAACAGATTTCCAGGACTTTTTTGTTTCACGAATCTGATGCTGTCCCCATTCAACGCCCGCATCTACTTCCTGTCCCTGTGAATCTGACTCCTCCAGGGACCTCCTATGAGTGGAATCACACAGGGTGTTTGTCCTTTGGTGACTTGCCTGTGTCACTCGGCATAGTGCCCTCAAGGTCCACCCATGTTTCTTCCTTTTTAAGGCCGAATAATATTCCACTCTGTGGATTTACCACACTAGGTAATGTTGTCACCCATCAATGGCTGTTTGGGTTTTTCCACCTTTTGTCTGTTGTGGGTCATGCTGCCATGACCTGGGCAAGCATTATCTCTTTGAGACCTGCTTTCAGTTCCTTTGGCTAAATACCCAGAAGTGGGACTGCTGGCTCATATGGGAATTCTAGTTTTAATTTTTTGAGGAATGGGGACTTTACTCTGCACTTGTCTTTATCCTCTATTTTTAGCGTGCCCCCCCATGGCATTCCAGACAGTGACTGGCTGCCTCACCCCCCAGGAGGTAGCAGAGGATCCCCAGGGCTGGGCAGAGTCTGGGGGGCTCTCTGAGGGTCTTTCACAGACAGCCCACCCGGGAAATTCTATGGCGGGTGGGGGGGGTGGTCCTACAGGGGTGCAGCAGGCTTCTGACCTTTCCCAGTTACTGACCTCTTTCCAGCTTCCTGCCTTGTGCTGACCACCCTCCTCCACTGGCCCCTTGCCACCTCGGTGTGTCCTCACGGTTCCTGTGGCTTTTTTTGACTTTAGAGGGCTTTGAGGAGGAGCGCCCCCCCCCATCCCACCTCTCCTGAGGCTCTCGCAGGCTCGGAGGACGGTTACTGCCTGCCGTCTCCTGGCCCCGGTGGGAAGGGCCGTGGCCGCTGTGAGGACTTCCCCGTGCAGGGCCCGACCCTCGCGCAGAAGAGCGGGCAGGGGGTGGGGCCTGGGTGTCCAGGCGCAGAGCCGCTGCCGAGAGCCGCCACTTGCCGCGGGACGCGAGGCTGTAGTGCCCCGGCCCCTGGAGGCCGAGCTGGATCCTGGGGAGGAGCAAGTCCAGGGCTCGCCGTGCGGGGTGCAGAGGGTCGGCGGGCGCGGGACCCGCGGCGCGCAGCTGTGTCCAGCGCCGACCGCCTCCCTGTCCCCGCAGGTGTGCGAGCCGCCCGAGAGCAGGTGCCCGAACCGCCACTGGAGCGTCAGCATCGACGAGCGTCGGCGGCTGGCCACGCAGGGCGGCTGGGAGGAGCCGGGCACCAGCGGGCCAAC